TCTGTGTCAAGTCACCTGTCATTAATACTGCAATTCTGCCTTATATCCTAATCTCTCTGCCTGCTAATGGCCGGGTTCTGTGGCTGATGGTATCATCTCCTGTCTTCTGGACAGACAGGATGGAAGTGTCTGAGTTCCACTTGGTTTTTACAGAGCTACTTTTAGGATTCCTGGGGCCACCTTTAATGGCCATAAGACATTTCTCCTACTATATGGTTGCAGAGAAAGTGCTCGTACTCATCAATTTAATATTCACGGTCAGGGTTCAACTCCATAGTGCGGTCTGTATTGAACGCTACCTTGCAGTCGTACACCCTGTGCTGTACCTAAGGGATAAACTCATGAGGTACAGGATGAGCCTTTGTTGTGCAATCTGGCTGGAAAACATCCTGCTTGGTGTAGTCTAAATGTTCTTTTGCAGTGAACGTCCGGAATCACTGGGCATGTATGCAAGCTCTTATTTTGCGGCCTTTACGGTCAACTCTTTCTGCTGCTTGTCAGTTCTCAGGGCTCTGAAACAGCCATGTCCAGGGGAAGGAGAGAGGCAGAGATCCAACTTGTGCCTTGTGCCCCTGGTCACTATGTTCTTCATGGTGAGGGAAATGGAGTGGCACACACGTTGTATCTGGCAGCCCTTGGCATATGCTGTAATGGTTTGGCTCGGGGCTATCTATCCTCTTCTCTACATGCAAAGAGCTGGGAAACACCTTGTAAAAAAGGATTTATGTGTAAATTGTTTTTGATGGTAACTACACTGAATGTGCTGTTACTGTCATTCAGCATACCTTTGTTTTCTTTTTTCTGTGCTATTCTGTAACGAATAATGTAACACAAGTAAGCTTCCAGATCTGCTTTAGTCTTTACTGAGAGGCCTTCCATTCAAAGTTTTGAGAGTTTTTTTGAAACGGTATTTAAAATGAAATAGTGGGCAAACAAGAGCCCAACAATTCTGAATAGCACAAAAACTAGCTATGCTAATACTTGTATCTTATGAAAAAGACATAGTAGCCATTTGTTTTGTTAGTAATTATTTGGTATCAGATTAGCTAAAGTATATGCCTTGTACTTAGTTTTGAAATAAAGTGCAGTGGTCTTTTTTTCTCCACTTAACTTGTGTTTAAAGTAAATCACATGACTGTTTGTATTGAAATGCTTTAAAACTGCATCAACTTTGCATGTATAATTAAATCTGTGCAAATTAAACATGCTCTTGAAATGTATGATACGACAGCAAAGGTGATTGACACATACACACTATGGGGAAGGAAACATGAAAAGGATGGATTTTTATTTAGTAGGCTCTGTATCTGTTATGTGACAACCAATTATAATATGACTAAAACACCGGATTCACTACATGAAATGTAATACAGGACATTTCTGTTTATCTCAGGATACTGACTATTGCAACAAACATGTCATTTTTGTAATGGAAAGATGTTAATAAGAACTCTTGGGTCCAAATGCAGCCCGCGGACAATTTTGAATCGGCCCTCACTCAGCAAATTAAAAAAGTATAGTAACTTAAGTATAATAAACTTCTGCTTGTCTTACTTCCTAAATATATATGTTCAAATATATTAAACAGTATATTCATGTGTTAATAAGCCCAATTTTCAAATAAATTCAGTCAATTAAAGTTGAAAACATGTTCTAACAAATCTAAGTTGATAAGAAAATAGCCCAATATCAAATGTACATAACAACCTTGAAATATACCCTTCATATTTCCTCTTTTTATAAGCAATCTGAAGCTTCTGTTTTAGGGGTGAGCTGCAAACTGTCACAATCTGTCTGTATTGTATTTTCTCTTGTCTTTTTCTGTCTTTTGTTTCATGTTTTATTTTGAAAGGTCTTCACCTCCTGTCTTGCCTGTTTCTGGTTGTGTTGTGTCTTGTCCAGATCTGTCTTTGGTTTTATGTCTGCGTTGTGTTTTGTCTTGTTTAAATCTGTCTGTGGTTCCCTGTCGTTAGTTTCCCTGATGTGTCTAATTTACCCGATTGTGTTCACCTGGTGTCCCTGTGTTTTCTCCTCCCTCCTCAGCTGTGTCTTGTTTGTATGATTAGTCTTGTGTGAATTTAAGTTCTGGTTTTTCTGTCTGTCTTTGTCGGTTCGTCTTATGCAATGACTAGTTCTTCGGTGAGTGTTCTGTTTTGTCTTTGTTTGTATCGCATAGCCTTGAAATAAAGGAGTTATTTTTGTCACTTTAATCTGCATTTGTGTCCTGCTTCCTACACACACCGTAACATTACGAACCGACCAAATATGGGCCCAGCAGATCCTTTGGAGCAGGAAATATTGGATTTTTCCTTTTCGTTGGCTCACTGCTCTGATCTATGGAGGGGAGCGTCCAGGGTTCAGCAGCGAGAGGTTGCTCAGGCAGAGGCGCGCCGGATAACCATAAAGAAACCAGCCTTAGTTAAATTCTTACCTGCCTGGTTTTTGGATTACCTCACGGTTTGTTTTCCCGATCCTGATAGACCCAGGTCTCCCAATTCCCTTTTTGATACCACACGCATCGGTGTGGTCCGTCTGGAGTCAGCCCCTGCTTCTTCCCCAGTTTTTGCTCTAGTGCAGGAGCCATTCGATGGTACTCGTCTGGCTTTTGGAGGTCCACGGAGCCTTCAAACGGCTCCTAAAGGAAGGAGTCGCAAGGCCAGGTTAGCAGCACAAGCCCAAAGAGCCATAGTTCCAGAACCAGTTCAGCCCCCAGCAGCCATGGTTACAGAACCAGTTCAACCCCCAGCAGCCCTGGTTATAGAACCAGTTCAACCCCCAGCAGCCCTGGTTACAGAACCAGTTCAACCCCCAGCAGCCATGGTCCTTGCTCCAGAACCGGTCTCGGCAGCAATGGATTCGGCTCCAGAGCCGGCCCATACAGCCATGTTTCCGGCTCCAGTACCGGACCTTACAGCCATGTTTCCGGCTTCAGAACCGGACCTTACAGCAATGATCCAGGCTTCAGTTCCGGTACCCTCAGCCATGGTTCCG